ACCCGTCTTTTATTGGATTGAAAAGTCATTGTTCTCGAACAATTGACAATGGTTCCACTTACATATCATTTAAAATATTACAGGAGGGGCAATTCTGATATGTTTTCGCTTTGTTGATAACATTATTATAAAATTTAATAAATCCCTATTATTAGTGGCCGTTCGTGTCATTCGCTGTATAAACATACCGTTTCAAATTTCACACCGTGTTTGAATTATAATGATAAAACATTCTTGTTTCCACTTTTAACGCTTTTACCGCATTGATTTAAAAAAAAAAACGTGTTCATTTGTAATTCATACGGTATGAAAAATTAACGCGTTAGTTTCGCAAACTTTCACTTTTAACGGTATGGTTTCTCATTTTATACGTTCTTGTGTCAACCAATCGAAATTGGTGTCACAAACACAACCATATTTATTGCGGGGTGGGGGGGCTCGTGGTCCAAGTAGTCAAACTACTGTATCATTAGCCTGTCAACACTGAAGTTGTGAATTCGAGTCCTGTACCTGGCAGGTGTGTTCGGCTCAAATCTTAATTGACTACGATTGTCAGTTTTCATACCGAAGGTCAGTGGTTCTCTCCGGCTTCCTCCACCAATAAAAACTGGGCGCCACAAATTAGCCAACAGTGCTGAATGTTGCGTTAAACACCAATCAATTAATCAATAAATCAATCAATCGGAGTGATATGATTAACATGGATTGAGTCAGACAATGGTTTTACAGCGCAATAGACTATCGACTATTTGTTAGAAAAGGAGAATCAGATGCTTAAGAAACAGGAACTTATAACAGAATTTATCAAATGTATTATCCCAGTCATTTCGACCCGTTCGAATGGTCATTCATGGCATTTGCGGGATATGATATGATATATATATATATGTCTTTGTGTGTGTATGATAAAAGAAGGTAATATGATGGGTACTAGTACCTTTTTTGACCCTTGAATTAAAAATTACAAAGTATCAGTAATTAATTTAATAAAATCTACAACATGTTCACAAGACATAAACCCGTCAGAAATCAGTATACATGTACTATTGCTCTGTCGCTCATGTAAATCTTAATGACACAATTGACTGATTGTTGTGTTCTTATCGCACAGTGGCAAACAGTTCATGTCTATTAATGACGAGTACAAATTTGATTGACCGGGATGCAGGGTGATAGAGAGTGGGGCAAACGCTTGGTCCTGCAAAAGGCTAATAATGGTCCCTTAAAACAGTTTTTGCAAATTTCTTTCAATAAAGCGTGATACTTTTCCTTCACGAGAGAGAGAATCTAACGTCTCTATTTCGATCGGACGTTGCAGCGTATTTATACACCATTCAAAGCCAAAAGAACACTCTTTCTTGTGCTTGACTGATGGACGGAATAAGCTTAATTTAAAATAACCCAGTCAACACTTGAGGTTTATTTGATTTAACTGAATAAAAATGTGTAAACTGTCATATGTTTATGACTACAAAGTTATATCACAAAGGATATTTCTGCACGAAAAAGACCATTGTATACTATAATTATGTTATCGTATTCTTACAGTTAAATTATACCATTTTGTCAAATTATCTCTCCAAATAAGTTACAAACAAAAATAATTGTGAGGACAAAACGTAAAGTAAAAGGGGAAAACTTTGAAGCTTGTTTATGGATTGTACTAACATTGATTTATAATTTGAATCCATATCAGTTTTTAAACTTGATAGAACGTTTTCGATATTTTTCACACGATTAATGCTGCCTATTTACAAGGCAAAATTAAAAATGCGTATATGACTGTTTATAAGACTCACAGTTTTGATGAAATTGTTGCCAGATATTACAAGATTGTTCTGGTAAATAAGTTTTTATCTTGTTTGGAATATTTGTTTTCGTGTTGAATGTTCTATCTGCTATGGGCCGTTTTGGCTTTTTGAAGAATTTTATTTAAAAATATATATTGAATACGTTGGTTTTCTCATTAGGATAATGTGGTTAACTATACGGGGATGTTTGGTTTTGTTATGTTTTGATTGATGGTGATTTACTGTTTTTTTTCTGGCTTATCTAAATCTTGATAGATCTTCCAGAATTGAGTTGTGAACGATGATTGTGATAGGAAAGATAACTCTAATTCCTATGATTTTGTCAGTAACATATGAGATGATATGACACAGTTCAGGAGGTTTTGCCACGATATCACAGAATCTTGCTGAGGGAAGAAAAAAAATGCAGATATAACATTGTTGGGCTGAATTTAAGACGAAGTATATATTTTGATTGTGCTTTTTTTTCTGAGACAAATTTCTGAAATATGCATAAAAGATTATGTTTCTATTATCGTCATGGGGATTTTCGTCATCTTTTCCTTCTTTCGCAACTTCTCCGCACCGATGTAATAAAGTGAATATGAGAATCAATAGAGTCTTGTCGAGCTTTTTAAATATTGAAAATTTAACCGTCGAGAGGGGAGATATATCGTATTGCACGAGATTCCGTAGTGGAATCTGTTACTTTAAGGATTTTTAGACGATGTGTAGACAAAACTTTATCCTTCTTATTAATTATCTTCAAAAAGATGTGTTCTGTATATGTGACGTCATCAGACATGGTCGCCTTTTCCATGATGTCGCAATAGGATTTTCAGAGGACAGCACGAACATTTGACGTCATAAATGAATTTTGACCAATGAAGAACTGAGATCAAACGAACCACAAGTTGATTTTTATAAAAAAAAATTAACTTAAGAAGTGAACGTTTGTCAACGAATTTAATTTTTTACGCATTTTGTCGGGTGTGATTTGTATAGCTGGATATACTAATTGTCGTGAAAGGTGAATTAATGCAGTAAAAACTGAACGAATATCGATGGTTAAATCTACCGGTACACCTTATGCGCTAGGATTTATTTCATGTTTATCCTTTTTTTCAGATACATCAAACATACTGGTAGAAAGCACATTCGTGTCGACATGCTTCTGTTACTGCAAAGAGACACTTTGAAATTGTTAAAAAAAAAAAGAAAGTCCGATTAATCAAACTATGGAAAGTCATAATTATATTATCAACTGGGACCTTAAAAGTAGGGTCAAAAGCGTCCTTGGTACACTACAAGAGATAATGTTTGGTTTGACCATCTTGAACCAGGATGGCAGGAAAAGTAAAAAGATTGGTGATTTTCAGATTTAAATCTAAATTAAAATGATCTCGTTTCTAAACACAACTGAAAATTATTTCAGGACATTTGAGAGAGTACATTAAATTATTTTCTTGTAAGCCCGTTTTGTAGCCGGTTGTCTTTTAATTTTTGTCGTTGAAATTATGTTCCATTGACAAATACCCTAGATCCTATTTTCTGAAAGCATTTGTCTAATCAAAATCAAACTGGTAAGCCCGTTTTGTAGCCGGTTGTCTTTTAATTTGTGTAGTTGAAATTATGTTCCATTGACAAATACCCTAGATCCTCTTAATCATACTGTTACTTTACAAATTATAAAGTAACAAAACACCAAAGGAGACAACAAAAATCACAAGGCGAAGAAGGGCTGACAACTCCATTGCTTAAAGAATGAGACAAAAAGAAAAACATAGTCTACAACAAGATCACAGAACATTACTGTTATTATTTTGATGAAACATTTTACTGTTTATTTTTCCGTTTGCAGATTTCTTTTATGTGAACTAAATTCACTGGCAAAATTTTGAATATATGTTTTGTCAAAAGAACGCATCACTGATGACTACCTCGTCGTATCTTATCTACCCGAAAATATAACTAATTTGTAATTTTAAAATACAAATTAATACTATGAAGGCTTTCAATTTCTGCAGCAGTTTTGAGAAATTAAATAAACGGTATAAGAGATTGCTTTTCAATGTTTAATAAAACTATTGTAAAATATTTACGTGAGTTTCTTCTTTCGTTGTTTTTGAACATAAGATTTGTAATAAAAATTTGCAAATAACAAAATGAGAGTTAATGAATATATTACAACTGCTATATTGAATCCCAGAGGAAAATCGCATCCGCTGAGCAAGTTATACCCTGAATGTACAATGAACGCCACAAACTGTATCTGAAAAAAATATTCAGCTTATTTACAATAATAAAATACAAGCATGTTCATAAATATGCTAGCCGACCCAAGCTTTTGGCTCAGAGCCTTCTGTGTGAAGGTTCGTCAGAAATTATCTATAATTCACAACTTATGGTGTAAACAGTTTTCCTACACAGTAAATAATGAAAAAAAAAAAAAACTTGGTTTTATCGTTTGAATTGTTTCACATTTTGTCACGTTGGGACATTAATTAATTGCCAACTATACGACATGAGTTTTGTTCATTGTATAAGGTCATAAAGGGACCTATAATTGCTTAAATCCACGTTATTTGAACTCTGTTGAATAGTTGTCTCATTGGCAATCTTAATACTATTAAAATATTAGATCCCGTTTCCAATCTTTATTGTGCAATTTTGTAAATGTCGCGCGAGTTCGCTCTCTGTTGTCAGTATTACAGCAGGAATTTATTAATCATCCTTTTTCAATTCATTGATTCAAAGACAGCGCCAATAACATGAAAGTAGCTCTAAGAACACCCGAAAGTCTGCGAGAATATTTATGTTCGTGAATTATGGTGTTTGTGTGTGACAAATTTACTGCATGACATAATAACAGAGGCGTAGGAGCACACTGAAAGTGACAAGCCTAAAAAAAAACTTTCCTAAAGTCTTATAGTCTAGAAATAAGTCAGTGTCCACTTTCGTTTACATTTTTATCTTCAGCAATTTTTGTGTGTGCCAAAAACATAGTTTTGTTCTCCCTCTTTTTAACATGGGAGCAAGTGTTAGTAGTTTTTACGTTAAAAAAAGAGCAACCAATCAGTTGTTGATGATTACATATTGTTATTCAGTGCTAGATATTATATTGCAATGTTCTGATTACATTGGGAATGAAACAAATTATCTCCAAACTCAAAGAATAAAAATACATAAATTTTTTATACTTACCAGTTGTAATTTAGTCAAATATTTTTTCCACCAGAGGTATTTTTGCATATGAGGCCCCAAAACGGCAAGACCATAGTATGTATACATAATGATATGCACAAAGGTGTTTAACATTGGAACGAAGAATGCTGAAATACAGTTATGGGATAAACAAAATAATACAGGCAAACTGACTTAGTTTTAGTTATTATTGTTGCGGACTTTTGAAAAACAATAAGTGCATATTCAATAAAATATGTTAAATATTCGGGTTTTCCTAGCCAGTACACTAGATTCAGGAATCACTTATACCTGTTTTCTCTTTTGATGTACGGATCGTCCCCATTCCCTTATTGAATTTATGTGATTCTCATTGCTTTCACACCTATATTTATTTGTTTGTGACATATTCCATTTCGACATTTTTACTGAGTCTGTATTTGCATGGTGGGTTTAGCATGAACAGCATGAGACGAAACGGGTCTCGCTACATTTGAGTTCCTCGATTTTTTATTATCATTGTTTTTGGGGAGATTTGAACTACTGTTTCCTCAATTTTTTTTAAAAGAATGTAATTATATTTGCTGTGACTAAGGCAAACAACAATGCAGTTTTCTTCTTAGTTAACATTGTCTACCGTCATATGGTATCAGGAAGATACATATACAATTACGTTAGCCGTAAAAAGATTGGTATTAAACATAATTTGAATCCTTGACTGTCTTAAGATACATTTCTTCTGTAATGTAAAATATCTAAAACAGAATCGGATTGGTTTACAAAAAACTTTCAATGCAAAATGTTTAATATATGATATAAGCAACTCAACAACACAATAAACCAAAAAAAAGACATTTTGAGGTCACCATACATTCATCAACAAGAGGTAAGTATGTGTATAGCCTATACGCTCATATCTATTATTCTATGAAGGCATGAATGAATACAATATATATATAGTATTGCCGATACCCCAGCAAGCATAGTGGACAACGGAATTTATTAGTTATTTACGTATATGTATATTAACATTGCGGTATACCATCTTTTCCGCAGGTTTATTGTTTTCTGTTTGGTATCAAATTAATAATAAAGATCCATTTTGTTACATCTTGTGATCCGTTTATTTGGCAATCGCCAATGGCAGTCAGCAGGGTTTAAGTACATCCGTTGTTCGACCTGTTAGTCAAATACGTTTTGTTAAAATATACTTTTTCACTTTTTTGGTCTTTTGGAAAATGTTGTTTGTGCTGTATTAAGACCTCTCTACCAAGAAATTTGTTTTGCATGCACACGTATAAAAATTACGGTTTTTATCCAACACAATCATAGGTTTGAACGTTGTTTTCAATTTAGACTTATTTTAATTTTTTCGTTTGGGCTTGTATTATATTTGCCTTCGGGTTTATATGATCCGTTCATCCTATTTCGACTCTTCAAAATTCAAGAGTCTATCCTAAATTGAGGTAAATTATATGGCCTTCCAAATACCGTTTCGATTCCTAACATCACCGAAGAGACATTAATTGTCGAGATCCGGATATGGTGTACAAATTTTTGCACCTCATGTTTGCGGTATACCATCTTTTCCGTAAGTTTATTGTTTTCTGTTTGGTATTAAATTAATAATAGATCCATTTTGTTACATCTTGTGATCCGTTTATTTGGCAATCGCCAATGGCAGTCAGCAGGGTTTAAGTACATCCGTTGTTCGACCTGTTAGTCAAATGCGTTTTGTTAAAATATACTTTTTCACTTTTTTGGTCTTTTGGAAAATGTTGTTTGTGCTGTATTTAGACCCCTCTACCAAGAAATTTGTTTTGCATGCACACGTATAAAAAATACGGGTTTTATCCAATGCAATCAAAGGTTTGAACGTTGTTTTCAATTTAGACTTATTTATCTTAACATATATATATATACATATGAAAAAACCATAATCACAATTACCCCGAATAACGAAATCATGGATATACTATTAGGTACAACTAAGCTTAAATAATGTAAGCCTAATACAAACATAAACTAGTATATGGTTGACATGAATGTAAACTGAATAACTGAATGAATGAATAACTCGATCATAAACGACCTCGCCGGCCAGGAACAACCTAACAAACCCAATAATGGGATAAACTGGAAACCTGGGTCCGACCCAATGCGACAAGTCTTCTCACGAGACATACTCGGACGTGTAAAGTTTTGAAAACATATAAATACATACATGTATATCATAATATATTCATAATATGAATGGAACTTGAATGTTGTCCTGTCTTTGGCGGGCTAGAAAGTGATAATCTCTGGGAAAAAAATTCCCGCTATAAGGAAATTAGTCACGTGTCTCATAACTAGTGACGTAAACTTATAAAACCGTATACGTTAGAACCGTACATACAATAATTTCGTCTATACTAACGAAACGTGAGAAATTATACGTACTATGTCTAATTTAACAGAGACTACCGCAGATCTACGAAAAACTATAATTTATTTCAGGCGCGTAGCTGCCTTTACGCAAAAAATCATTTGCTTGCACATTTTTTTCACCAAAAAAAAAACAAAAATTCTGAAATTGAATTACGGATAGTCTTTAGTCTTTACAGATTATCGTGTCGGGCGGTGTTTAAAGCCCAAATCTCTGATGTCGTCTGTAGCAGTGACCAATAGGGAACTATATATCCTTCAATATTCGCAATCTTCTCAATTCTAGTTACAATGCCAGTAACTACATCAACTACTGAACGGTCATTTAGTGCATTAAGGTGACCGAAAACTTATCTCCGTTCAACCATGGTACAGGACAGACTATCTTCGTTGGCGCTCATACCTGTTTCACCAAGAGAGTTCTGCGATCATTTGCCTTGGCAAAAAATAGATATATGGACTTTCGATATTAACTATACTTAAAGTCTTACATGCAGTATTAACATTTAATAATACAGGCTCAATACAATCACCTTGAAAACATCTTAGATTTATATCCCTTACTTATAAGTCAAGACTTAAAAGTGGCCGTTAGATTTCGTATTCCCATTGTCCGTTCGTCCAAAAGACTATTGATTCACCTGGGGTATCTGTGTCCCAAATGACCTTCTACCGTTGTCGTAGAAACCTCTCCTTTGATTTGAAAATGACCTTCGTGAGATACACTACGGGTGTCTTGCAAGAACCAGGAACTGCTTACCCTTTTGGAGCACCGGAGGTCGCCACATTGTTTTCTGGGTCCGTGTTTTTCATCTGTATTTAGTTTTCAATGCTGAATGTTTTTGTTTCTCCTTTTGTGTCTTATCTGTTCCCGGGTTTGTCAATTGTCTATTGATTAACGCTTCGGTTGTCGACTCTTCCTGATCTTCCCGTTTTATAAAATTTATTTTATATTTGGAAATAATCATGTTAATAATATAAGCAGCAAATTACGGAACTCACTAGACTTTTACTATCGTTTCATGAAAATATGGTATAGTAAGAAACAGATAGGGTATTTTTCATGTTAAAAGCAGTCACCGTAATTACTCATATGCCCGGAGCTTCATGGGGATTCGCTTCCCTGGACCACCGTCTACGGTGCTGCCCTGGATCCCCGACTATGGTACCCTGGACCAGCTGGGGACTTTGAGCGGTACATAGCCTCCTCCCTTGCCGAATCACTATAAAGTCCACAAGTATTCACAAAATAGGAGTTTGGGCGTGAATGTGATGTGAATTTCATAAGCATGGCATACCGGGAAAATGCCCGAAAAAAGTTATCATTTTCTGCATAAAATGGTCCAAAAAATTTTTTCGCCTCGCTTCAGACGGCGATAGTTATGATTGCACTTTATGTAAGTCCAGCTACGCCCCTGTATTTAAAGGACAAAACAATCGATATAATCAAATGCAACTAATGGCGGGGTTCAAGTATTTGCAAAGTATACTCTCATTTTTAACATGCATAATATTTTGTGGATTGTCGTTTGTCTTCTTTAATCCATGGTGTTGTCTGGTTTCCTTCGACTTATGGTATTTGATTGCCCTGTTGGTATTTTCTCTCCAAATGTTTTATAGGTAACACAATGCTAGTAATACCTGTATATGGATTACATACCTCCCTCTGTTCATAGTGTTGATTCCTCAAATGATTTCTTTGATTGGAATCTGCTGCTAGCAATGAACTTACTGAATCGAAGTTTCCTAGGGGTAAAGTTCAAGTCATCACTTCGAAAGTTATACAGTCGCCATCATGACGGGTTACTTTTGTCACAGATGAACAAATATTTATAACGAGCCTATTTTAAATAAGTAACATACATGTAGCAGGAATTTTAAACCGACCGAAAACATATATTTTAATGGGAATCGAATTGCTCAATATTTATAATTTTGTATAATATTTGTGATAACAAAGAAAGAACGTGGGGTATCCATCCACAAATACAAAGTCACAGTGAGGCCTTCAACATGGTTTATTTGTGTGGTTTATTTTTAACATTTTTGTCATACTATTAAATGCCCTTTCTATAAATTAAGGGTTCTTTGGTATATTCAAATTTTCTCTAAGGATATATAACGCCACCAAATGATAAATGATTCATGACGTAATTGTATATGCAAAACCGAGCATGTTTCTTTTAACAAAATATTACAAAATTTTTGTGATCTTTTATTTTATTTGCTAAAAACGCAATGAACAAACAGTATCTAGAAATACAGATCCAAAAAGATCGCGGTGTCGTGCTAAGCATACACCACTCGTAATTATAAGTATCGGGGAATAAGAATTTATTTAGGTGTCTGACAGGTCCGAAAATCGCGCATAAATTACAACTGATCAATGACAAGCTGTTGCCTAAATATAAAGCTATTCTATTCAGCAGTGATTTGAGAAATATGCGATGACATTTTTTAAGTTCATTCAAAATCATGAAAAATTCAAGGTATCAGCAAACAGGAAGTATGTGTTCGAAAGAATCCGAAAAGTGCTCACACATTTACAACTCATTACTGTCAAGCTATTGACCAAGTACCTGAGAAATGTGTCACAAAAATATCTGTTGGACGAACGGACGAACAAGGAAAATCCAAAATAGCATAACCCGTACCTAGGAATTGTAGGAATTGGGGTATAATATCCCTGACCTCGAGAAAGGCACTTCCCTATGGATGCCGTTGGTTGCTGTTTCCTTGACATCACATTTCATTTTATTCATACATACCTTGTCCTCCAGCCACATATTTGACTCCCATCCAGTATGTAAGGATCATGGTACAGTGATGATAGGCATGCAAAAATGATACCTGGTTCTTTCTCAGTATCAGAAATAACTAGTAGGAAAAATCTTACTTATTATGTTTTATTAAACAAAAAGTCATTATCTAACTGGTTAATTTAAGCAGATAAGAAAATGCAGTCTGTTTACATAATACTTATGAATTAAGTTTTGTTCAGAGAAAGGATATCAGACTAAAACATAAAAATGGGAAAGTCAGCTGCACTTAAAAAAAATGACAAATACAAATATGCTTTTATCTGGAAGATTTCATTAACTAATAATCAATTTTCATCCTGTGATTTTTGCTACATAGAGGAGCTGTTTGTATGTATTCGGACATACTATAACCATGAATACAGAACTTGAAAAAAAATTACGGTCAAATATAAGAGTATTTGGTTTCTGTTGTCCAGAAAAATGACATTTGGTTTGGTTGTAACATAAGCTTCTCGTGTCAAAATTGAAAAAAAATGAGTACTGTTTGACTGCTATATGAGTTTTTTTTCAACGCTTAGTTCGATACCGTATATGCACCGTCCTCAAATGTCAAATGGTCATTTCTGCTTGCATTAATACGTTTTCAACATTAAAGAAATTTAAAATTGTGTTCATGATACTTACTGTATCAATAAGCTCTATAACTTTAGAAAAAAAGAACCACCATAAAACTTTCGCCATCTGTAAAATAAAAGAATACATAATATATTCAACTTATTATAAATGAGACAATAAAAATAAAATAGAAAAACAGACATTCAGATGTCACGACCCAGAGTTTTGAAAATTTTAGGTAATGACCGCTTTCATGTAAGAAGAATAGGTTGACGGAAACCAGTAGATAAAATGCATGCTAAGTATCATCGGAATACAGAATTACATGTATTCAGTTTTTCAGGTAAAATGCTTCGCAGGTGCATAACAGTGTAGGTCTTTAGTAGTGCCTACTATCTGCCTTAACGTAGTATGGTATTTCATTAGATATAAAAAATAAGGGGATGTGGTATGATTGCCAGTGAGACCACTATCCACAAGGGTTCAAATGAAGTGGTGGTAAGCAATTATAGGCCACCGTAATTTGTCCATATTTTTTCTTTGTTTTAAATAATAAAGTTTGTTTTCTTTTATTTTTAAATAGACATATATTGCTTCGAATACGATTTTATTCACGTCATTGAGTCAACGTAGATTTGTTCCTTCTAACAAAAGTTCCTGTGGAAACTTTGTTATAAACAATGCCATTATATCTGTTCCTTTAAATTCATTGGAGGTAATTTCTTCACAAATTTTGGACATAAAAGCACCATAGAAACATACACACAGAATACAATAATTATTGTCCTGTTGGAACAAATATTATATTCCCCGTAAGGAACAACTTCTGTAATATGTGTTAATAATGACGAGGTTTTTCGGAAAGAAACGAATCCTCTTTCCACAGTATGTAAGATGTGAGCAAGAGCTGGAATTCGCTATTAAGGAAAGTCCGCAGAAACGACAATTCAATATGTCACTTGTACAACTGCACCACAAATCTAGTGTGGCGTCCATTTCGCATGTATAAATACCCTGCCACGTCAAGTCTGTTTTTGTTAGATGTTTTTTTTTCTGCTTTGTATCGATCTGATGAGTTAAACTGATTTTTATAGATTTTTCTTATGTTGTGCTGTAACACTACTGTCCCAGGTTAGGGGGAGGGTTGAGCGCTCAGAAACATGTTTAACCCCGCCACATTCTTTATGTACCTCCCCCAAGTCAGGAGCCTGTCACGTGAGTTCAGTGGTTGTCGTTGGTTAATGTCTTTCATATTTGTTTTTCGTAAATTGTTTTGTTATAAATATGGCCGTTAGTTTTCTCAATTGAATTTCGGGGCCTTTTATATGGATTTTTCTCATTGTCGAAGGCCGTACTGTTGCCTATGATTGCTTAGATCCACTTCATTTGAACTTTGGTGGATAGTTGTCTCATTGGCAATCATACCACATCTTATAGTTTTTATATACACAAATTATCCAAAACACCCTGGTGTTGCCATAACGATGTACAATAATGGTCCAGTTGCAGAACATTGGCTCCCTTGCAAGAAACATTTAAAATCTTTTCCTCTAGAAAGTGGCTTCAAATATTTAGTTCAGCAGTGCACTTTAATATATATAGTTTGTGTGTGTGGTATATTTTTTTCAAAAATAAAAAGAAATTTTACTTTAATTCATCAATTATTAATTGTCTAGCTATGGCAGTTATAATTTTAAAAAAACCAAATAAAATTTCGATCTTGAGTATTTATTATCGATACTCACCCTGACTGCTAAATAGTCCTCTGAATAATCTACTGGTTGGCATTGATAACTATAGTTGGACAACAGGGATACAGTAATAAACTGAAATACAAAAATATTACAACATTGACGAGTATGAAAATATGGTACCCCTAGGAAAGAGAAATAACAATCGTTAATTTCAGTAAATTATTGTTTTCAATTTATAACAATACAAAACGTCGTTTGTAATTTTTTTTAACAAACCTGTCAAAGGAATGGTCCAATCTGATCCAAACAAAGTTATGGCGTTTTGGTTCAAAATATGCCCGTTTTGCTGATTTGTTATATACATTGTTGGTGTATCAATAATTACAGTAGAAATTTTTGGTAAAATGTAATATTTCTAATATATACGCGGTTTTTTTTTGTGTCAAATATTTAGAGTACAAGTATAGTAACCGGTGTCATTAGGGGAGCAGATACTGCTGACGTTTCCTAAACGCCTTAGTTAGGTTAGGTTCGTGTTGCTTCGGTAGTTTTCTGTGTAATTTTTTATGAACTAGTGTATATGTTCACATTCTTTATTAGACCATACTATGGTATAAAATCTACTTGTGGTTTTAAATGTCCTCTTGGTAAAATCTCCCTATTTTGAAAGCTTATTCACAGTTCTTAAAAACAATTGTACTAACCTCTACAAACATATAGACCGACAGTGCTACCAAAACGAAGTTATAAGGCACAAGAATTAATTTTAAATTCATTGGAGGTAATTTCTTCACAAATTTTGGACATAAAAGCACCATAGAAACATACACACAGAATACAATAATTATTGGCACAGGTGATTGCATAAGGGGCCATTTCTCCACTCTTGGATCTACAAGAAGCAAAATTCAATTATTTTAGTAGAAATATAAAGGTCTTTTTCAATTTCAAAATGATCATTGGAACCGCGCTTCCAGAATAAATGGTGTTCGCTTCTACTTTTAAGAGATCTTCTTTTAAGATGTGTAAAACTTTTTTACGAATGCAAAAAATAAAAATAGACGTTGACCTGCAAGATTTTTAAAACTTTATCTATTTGTACTAAAGTTTACTATGAACCAATAAATCATTTCACAAATAGTTAATATTATTTCAAAGGATTGTCCTTGTTAGTGAGTAAATATATCATATTGAAAGATCAAGTCATACAGAGTCCCTGGAGGGTCCCAACGTAGATCCTAATTTATTTCGCCCATTAGAAACAACTTGTTGTTTAATTGATAAAATTTTCAATGAATTATGTAATATTTATATATCAAAATTAAAGTTATAATAGGATTTGCAATTGTTGATAATAAGATTATGAATAGACTTTTGATTTAATAAGAAGATTAACTAAAAGCCTTTGGTTATTATTTTATTCGGTTTTTGTGAAAAGCGAAGAAAAATAAAATTAAAAATAAATATTTTAAACGTAGATGTGAATATTTGGATTACATTCTAATTATAAGTGAAATTGTTTTCTATTTAACTGCATATTTTTTTTCTGAAGCTAGAATAGCTGAGGCAACATTTTTAGACAAAAATAAATAGAAAATAAAATTAAGATACAACAAACTTTTATAATTATGAGGTCTTTTTTCTATTAACTTTAAAATTTGCAGACAAAATTCTTTAAAACCATACAGTCGCATTCTACAAACCTGCTCTCTTTAATCCATTAATGTAAATCTTCCTGATATCGTCAAAAAATGCCATCTTATCAAACTCCTGTAATTGAAAATAAGGTTACAACAGGAACATGTATCATTCTAATATTAAGGATCAGTCAAATCGAGAAAAACTGTGTATGTAACTCTAGATTAGAGGAACACAAAACTTTGATCATACTATAGTATCAACCATTTAAATCTGTTATTAAAAAGACGATTTTCCGCAATGAAATTTCGAATTTTTTACTTGGATTTGATATTTAAACAAACGGAAGATAGCACAAAAAATAATAATAAAGCGGCTAGTGGCATACGGAAGCGTATTAACGCCACACGTTTTTTTATATTTCTTCCTATGTTTGTATAACGCAAACCTTTGCGAAATAACGCAAACCTTTTGCGTTATAACGCAAACCTTTGCGAAATAACGCAAACCTTTGCGTTAAACGCAAACCTTTGCGATATAACGCAAACATTTGCGTTATAACGCAAACATTTGCGAAATAACGCAAACATTTGTTTTATTTTATTTCTTATTTAAGTTTCATAGGAAGCAGCTGTTTTAAATGGAGGAGGCTGCATATATTAAAATTTATCACCCTTTGTACTCATTGCAATGTAAAATGATTGAGTGTTTAGCACATATCATGGGATAATAATGAGCAGGATAATACATGTATGTATATATATATATATATATATATATATATATATATATATATATTACAAAGAAAATTGAGTTAATTGAAGTTATGCCGAAGAAAATAAAAAATCAACCCCGCTAGTGTAGCCGGCAAATTTAAGTATACTTCCAAAGTAAGCGCTCGTTTGAGCATTGTGTAAGATTGATTAGATTCAAACAAGCTACCCTTTTTCAATAAATGTATAAGATGAAGATGTTATTTTATTATAATTATGTTCTCTACATTCAAATTGCTACCCAAGCATCTTAAATAGCTACCTCACTAGATTGAAATTAAAATTCCATGACTTTTTTTTTAAAGAATCTTTATCATATTCTGAGATTTCAACAAACGATTTCTTACATCAAAATTTAAAAAAAATGTTTTTTTCTGAATAATACATTTTAAAGCAGAAAGAACATTTTGTCTATTTGACTTATAGTTTCACAATTGTATGACATTATTTTTGCTCTTATCTAGTTTACCACTTTCCGTTATTCAAAATTTTCAAAATCTTGGCCTTTCAATTAAAATTTGCCTATACCATATCTATTTACTTGTTAAATTTATATAATCTTCTGATGCATAAACCATTTATTAATTTGTGTATAATTGCACTTCAAGTATTCCTTTATTTCTATGCATATTTATTATAATGATTTGGCCTTGTGTTCATGGTTCTTCTTTTAACTAAATCACAACCGAAATTTGACGACAGACGGACATGCAAAAAGCCGACATTTACAAAACACTGCTTTCAAATTATATAATAAACATAAAATGTAAATTTAAATATTATATATACTATTTTATTATTAAATATTCAAAACTAAATGAATAATTAAAATCAAAATGTTTGCATTATAACGCAAATGTTTGCGTTATTTCGCAAAGGTTTGCGTTATAACGCAAACATAGGAAAAAATATAAAACAAAAATTGTGTGGCGCTAATACGCTTCCGTAGTGGCATATACATGTTCTACTATTTTAATGACATCTTGGCCATAGCTTTGAACCCGTCTGTTGCTCTAGACGTCTTTAGTTGTTCGGTTGGTATCTCATTGACATTTATCCAACATATCACTTTATGTATATTACAAAGACGATATATGTGTTAAGACTTATTGTGTGCTACGTTATTTGTTTTGTTATTCCTAGATGTTATCTCCATCCAAATATATTGGCTCAATGCATGTCGATTTAAACATAAGGAGATGTGATATGATTGCCAGACACCAAATAACGCGGATTTAATAACTATAGGTCACAATACGACCTTTAACAATGAGCAAAACACATTCCGTAAAGTCAGCTATAAAATTGACATTGCAAAATGTGAAGCAATTCAAAAGAAGAAACCAACGACCTGATTTATGCTAAACAATAAAAGAAAAATAAATATGACAGACAGTAACCAACGACAACCACTGAATAATATGCTCTTAAGTTGAGACAGGAGCACATAGAATGACGCGGTGTTGAACATTTTTTGCGAGCGCTAAACCCTCCCCTAACCTTGGATAGTGATGGAAAACCAAACAAGAAAACAGTTGGAACGGACTTACCTCGTCAGATAGGCTCGAAGTGCACACAAAAAACTACAAAAAGACACAAAAGTTCGGATCTAAGAGTACTCACATGTACTGAAAGCGAGTTCAAAGCCAATTTCGACTTATACATTAACCATATTTTCCAAGACTAAATTATCAATCAGTACACATCAAACGGATTTAATGGAAACACCTTATAAACAGTTTGAGAAAAGCATGACCTTGTGCATTGCCGAAATCGATGTATCACTGGTATGTGGGACCAGGAGCGTTCGTAACTATGAAAAACATATTAAGTTATGTTTATCTATTAAAACAAATCAATGATGATGCCGATAAAGAAAATATTCACAGATCTGATATATCTTCTCTAATGATGTGTTTTGAAAATTAATTTGTCAGGAGTCAGCTAATACGTGGAGACTTATTTATCAATGAAAAGTATCTAAATCTATCCCAACATCAAGCTCGCCTCTTCGGGGAGTAGGCGGTATTCTATTCATAAGCTGATGAAAAGATGAAAAAAATAACATCAAATGTGTACGGACGTTGCACACGGTGCTGGTACAAATCAATTTTGATACAGATTAATAATCAATCTAGCTTCGTATGTAGTATAACGTAGTATAACGAAATCCGAGATCTATATTTTAATTAGATTGATTAATAATGAAAGCAACACAATAACTGGTCGCATTGATAAAAACATGACAATTTTTTTATTGATTTGAATATAATACTAGTAGGCTTGCAAGTAGTAAAACAATCAAATTAAAAATTAAAATATTGCGTAATAACTCTATTCCCGCAGTTTAAGGCAGAAACCTGATTCTAACGTTCCTTTTTGTGTATAGTAGATTATAACTTTGTGCCTTAAACTCGTCTTTCTTCTGGCATTGCCATAATACTTGACAGAAATAAACTTATTATAAATATCATGCGACGCCACATTAAGCCGCATTTTCGCATTTTTTTAATAAAAACCTAACATTAATATCTGGAAAAAACAGGTAAACATATGCATAACATTAATTACGATTTCAAATATATGCTATAACGCTTGGTTTTTTTTTAAACAATGCCAAAATTTCTTTTTATTTTGAACGTCGTGTAACTCTCACTGGTAACAACACTCTGCGCAAAACCATGGTGTTTGAAATCATCTGCAGCCAAAAATTCAATAAGTAAATTGGCATTGGGTCTTTACGCTACGACCTTACCTTAAATTTGGTATAACAATTCAATAGGATTTAGGACCCGTAACAGTACCTACTCATTACCCAAATTCAATGTAGAAATGCTTAAAACGTTACTGAAAATTCCTTTTCTTAAAACTTTGACGTATATGGACCGTTATTATGGCCAAATTGAAGAAAAATTCATTGGAATAATCATTATCTATTTCATTATGCAAAAAAATGTCACTGCAATATAATGCTCAATATTTAAAAAGGGCTGACAACAATATCTGTATAAAAAACGAAATTAAATTAAACAAAAAAAAACTGGGTTCACGAAAAGCAATGGCTGTTGTAAAGCTAACTCACTGACCGATTGCACAGTAAAAATGGTAAAAAAAACGACTAATGAAATGTACAAAAGTGGAAGTTTGAAATATTGCTTTTAAAAAAGTATAACAAAAATACTGAATCCCAACGTAAATTCAAAAAGGGGGAAGTCAATAAAAACGTGAGACTTTATCAACCAACGGCAGGATTGGAAAAACAACCGTCATATTCCTGACTTGGTACAGGCATTTTTCGAAGAAAATGGAGGGTTAAACCTGGTTTTATAGCTTGCTTAACCTCCCACTTGTATGACAGTTGTTTATAGTTCTGTTATATTGACAAAATTGAGTGAGCAACCAAAACAGCCATTTACACATAAAACGTGTCTTAGGTCCTAATTAATATTGTCTGAGTTTAAGAATCTAAGACCGTGTTGTTCTACTAGTGCCCATACACTACAATCGACTTATAGTCATGCTTTTATTTAATGTGTGGACAACTGGCTTTATTTACGGGTATAAACCTATAAGATATTTCTTAAAACGTTAATAAAATACATATTTGTAAGTGGAATTTAATATTGTATACGGTCGATCTAGTACAATAAAAAACATATCAAACGAATGAATTCAAACTAGTTTAAGTTACTTACGTTGTGAGACCAAAATTCTTTGTAACTTACTTCCACTGTTTCTTGGTTTAAATATTTTGCCCTATTGACAAGTTCTGTTCGAATAACAATAAACCACATTGTAATTACATTATAGACTGTTGTCTTTAAATCAATTAAACATTTAGAAGACGGATTACATATTTAAAACCACAGGTTAATGATTATATTATTGATTGGTTGCTCGTGTAAATTGTCAATACCTGTTCCAAGAGAATATCGGCACTAGTTATTTTTCGTTGAAACAGAAGATTATTGTAATGATTTTCAAGACAGTAAATGCGTGCAGCAATGTATGACCGTTTTGTCAATATCATTTTTCTTTTCCCAGATTGCTTACTTTTGGAAAAATATTTCGCCGTGTAATAATTAGTATTATTGCTTTGAAGATGGACAGTACGATTATAAAAATATAAAAATAACTTTGGCTTTTAAATTTAATAGTAACCTTACTTTCAATTATAAATTCTGACTTTTAACCACAAATTAACATTTGAAATATATAGTTTTAACACACTTTTTTTTGATAAATTTTTAACACTAAAAGTACATTAAGGTATTCGTCGCAGTGTCAATCAGTTAGCCTCGGCGACCTTGTAAAAATCAAGCTTTAAAAGATGAAATATAAAACGTTAGAAGAATACAAACCTAAAGGTTTAGATAAAGCAAGCGAGGCCAACTTACCTCAAAGACTTGCAGTCTTTATTTTCAGGGGCGGATCCAGTATTTTTCTAAGGGGGGCGTAGAATAGAAATTTTCGGACCTTTATTTTGGCTAAAAACATAAAATAAGTGTAAAATTCACTAATTTAACGGTTCCTGACCAGGGGCATGTATATTTTATAGATAAAGTGTAAGGGTTGGACATTTTTGAACCAAAAAAATGAGGTCAAGGACAATGGTCATCTGACAGACCGTTAGTTTGTAATATAAGGCATATATATATACAAAGTACGAAGCATCCAGGGTTTCTACCTTGAAATACTAAGATTTTAAATTAAGAGCCGCCTGATCACTATCCCTAAGTCTCGCTTTTTGCGACAGAAGTCGCAGGGGAGACAAAAAATTGCAATGGAGACTGACGTTTGTTTTCATGGTTAGTTAGCATATCCTCAGAGATTTCTTGTTGTAAACAAGATATACGGCCATTTACTGAAATTTACAATACGACCGACACGAAAGAAGACAATTTTTTTTATCCAAATGTATGGTTGAAATGTTTCACCCAACAAGGGAAGTGAGTGGTTCCAAATCAACCAAAGGCGGCTACGAATGAGTTTGAAATGACAATGAAGTTGTGAATGATGGTCGAGAAATGGAGACCTAAAGGCAACACCCAGCAGGCAGGTTGCAGTCGGTCCTTGAAAAAAAGTACTCAGTATACCAGTTCGGAGAAACAGACATTTCGGTCACTTCCCTCTCTTAAGTCTAAACTTCTTTTAAAAACATTAAGAACACAAGAATAGTATTTCAAATACCAACAAGATTTTTGGCACGGACCAATTGATTTTCTGATGGTGGTCTGGAATTTACATGCAAACCCCAAAAAAAATTATAAATTTAATACTAAATAATTTTGTTGGAAATTTTGTTTGTAGTAGCAAAAAAAGTGGGCAAGATATGTGTTTTCAGCCCAGGTACAGCCAGAATTTTTTAAGGCAAAAATCAGGGCCAACATTTCTATTCTCTAAAATATTTCAGACCCCCCGAAAATCAAATGGTCCGTACCTTATACTTTTAATCTATCTTAAGATTACTGACTTGGGATCATTATTCAGCAATATTATTAATGGGCTTGCCTGTGTGGGGTTAAACATGTTTTCGTAAGTAAGTATCATAGTTGTGGAACTATTTTTTCATCATGTGAGTACCTTCTGTTGGGTGGAATTGTGAAAAAGCTTCAATACGTCCTTGCTCTGTCCTTTGTCGCTTTGAAGGCGTAATACTTGTCATCCTCAGCCTTAGCAATGTGTTACTGTGATTTGAATTTCAAAATGACTGAGTGACGTTTTTTCGACATACTGGTCAACTCCACGATAGCGAATCACGTGACTTTGACATAGTCAATAATATATTACATGTAGATACGAGCGAATAATATCTTTATAAGTAACGAATTGTCGTATAAAATATACAGTAAATGGCAAAGTTAACGAAATCAAGTCTGATTAATCATTTAACAGTCTTAATTAAAAAAAAATGCAGGTAAAGGGAGGGGGGCGTACGCCCTCTACGCCCCCCTAGGCCTCTGGACCCGCCACTGATTTTTGCCTATTAACATAATTGATGACTTATAAATTTACATACATACATTTTGACATATACTTACTTCCTATTTGCCTATATTCTGTTTTTCAATTATAAATATTTTCATCAAAATTTCCTCAGAAACTGCTAAACAGAACTACTTCATATTCTGTCAGAAGCTTGACAGTATTTGAGTTGTAACGCGTGTCTTCCCGTTTTCAGATACTTTGAATTACGTATGGAAGTATGCTTCGCATGACAACGTGTGCATTGTTGTTTGTATCTGCCTTAAATTGAACAAATATTTGACTAATTGGGATGTGAAATAGGAAAATCTTGGTAACGGGTGAAGAAACATTCAAATATTTTGATAATATTTGCATGAGAAGATGGACTTTGATTGTAAAGTGTATATACACTCAAACGGATATTTTGGGTTATTTACAATCCTCATATGAGAAGATATTTTATTATTCCATGAAGCTCTAAAGACCGGTTTTACTTGATGAAAGAAAACATATTTTAGCAATTTGATAAAAATATTCGTAAAAAATAAACCTTAATATGATGTTGTTTATTAAGACACTTATATAATTTGAACGAAAGTCGGTAAAAGTAATTCCAAAATCTTTCGTTGAAAGCTTTACAATGTAAATAACACAAATCAGACCAACGTAAATGATTTTCTCTTTTGAAAGTTTCTTTTTGCAGTACATATTGGGTCGGTGATGTTCAATGCGTAATTCAATTATCAAAGAGCTAAATAAACAATCATACGATGTCAAAATGACATATCTAAATGCCTCTACACAAATGTAAAGTTTTTTTTTTCCCATACTAATTTTCACGTTTATTTAGACGTGCTCAAGTTCAAAATTGCCGTTATTGTTAACAGAATTTTTCACATGACCAAGTTCTATGAAATGTGATATATGATTAAAATTTATTTCTACGAATCTTGAAATTATAGCAAATAAGATAGATTTGCAAGATAAATAAAAATCCGTCAAGAGATCAACATTGAACGTTGAACAAAACATGAATAATATCAGAAAAACGTAATACGCTTACTTTCAAAATGGCAATAAAAACTACAAGATCAATAAAAAAAGACAACACCGGACCATGATCAAAAAGTGCTAAAAGAAAAACAGTCACAAAACAAAACTACACAGAAAACTATAGGCAGAAAAAAAAACGGGGTTAAATTATATTCATAAACTGAAAATCGGAACAGGATGCGTATTAATACACTTTCTCAAATTATGCAGCAAACAATATATTCAAATTACATATATCACAAAGTGCTACTCTTTATCTCACAAATAACTACATCTCTGATCTCTTTTGTGTCATTTTAGACAGTGGTTGTCAAGAAGAAAATCAAAATGTGAAATGCTATAGGATGCCGGACGACGGTGACGCCAAGTAATGACAAAGATCACGTAGCCATTGGTCAAGAGAACTTAAAAGGATAACTAAAGTATATGATGGACCAAAAACAACTAACTCCGATGAATAAAGAAATCCATCATGTATATTACTTGATATGAATTGTTCCCATATTTTTGTAATAAAAGTACCGGTAGACTAGCAGGGATCATCTGATTCATTAAAAATAGAAAAACATATTACGGTATGGGTTTTGCTCATTGTTTTAGGCCGTACGGTGACCTATAGTTGTAAACTTCTTTGTCATTTGGTCTCTGGTGGCAATCATAACACACCTTCTTCTCTTTATATTACAGAATAAATTCGAATTTATCGATCTTTTTGGTCCTCTCATCTTCTGTGACTGCAGCAAAATATCAGCAAAATATCAGCATGACTCATGTATCACAGACTAAACATATTGTATTTACTAACTGTGATCACGTGGGCAGGTCTCCTTGAACATCCGGAAAATGGTTAAACACCAAACGGATAAAATTTTGAATTTGGAATCAAATTTCAGAGGAAATTTTGGAACATAAACTTTGTGGTGGATAACGATATAAATATTCACACTCAGGTATATTTTTTTTATTTGAGCAAATCATATATAGCATAAGACATGTATTATAATATTTCATAAAATATCCTAATAAAATTTCTTCTTTTCTCGTTGACTTTGTAGGTAGGAATGGTAATAAAAGTTTCCAAATAGTAAAATTAGTGTTATTGCATAAATGAACACGGCAACATTAAAGCCTTGAGGAAAGTCACAGTCAGTTATTAAATTATATCCAGTATGTATAACAAACGCCACAAACTGTGTCTGAAATAAATAATGAAAATTTACAGCAATTTCAATACATCAAAATATTAATAGGCCCGCATTTTTAATGTATATCGGAAATGTTATTGGTGTATATAAACACTATGTTTTCTTTTTTCATTAGAAAAAAAATGAAGTGTATTCGTTTCCAGTCATTATTTTATTTTTAGTAGAACTTTCAGAAACAATACTTAATTAAATTATATTCAATTATACAAGACCATTAATGTTCCAACAGCCTTTTGCTTCATCTTGTTATCACTTGCAAAGAGTTAAACTTTGAAATGTTTTGAAATTCCTCATAAGATATTATTTTTTCCTGTTAAAAACAAAACATAAACCCAATATTACACATCAAGCTTTTGGTTCATTCGTCATTTGAATCCTTTAATTAGTTCAGAATATTTGCACAGAAGGCTTTTTTCAACTATACTCCTTTCTTTACATTTTTCTGATTTCTCATTTTCCGGGTTTTCACTTTTAAATTAATCAGATTAAAATATCGAGTACATCATATCATATTTCTACTGAATGATTTTTTCCATATTGATGTGAACTTCACTCTGATTTTACGTATTTAAGAATAAATACGTTATTTTGACAGGACTACGATGTCAAGATTGATTAATGTTTGGTCACTCGACGTTTGTTGGATATTCCTATAGAGATTTAAGACTAGAAATTAACAATATATCAGTTGATAGGATCTAAAAAAAGTGTTGGATTGATGAAGGAAGACGATTGCGAATGATTTCAACTGCCACTTTTAATTATGGGAAGTCTGCAATAGGTCAACTACTGGACTTTCCGAAGTCACATCGTGTGGATTATTTCACATTCGCTCCCAATTTTATATTTGGTTTAACGTCAACAATCAATATGGTCATAGCTGCATATTAATACATCCAAAACTGCCACACAAATCCAGTCTATGTAAGACAGAAACCTGGTAGACAAGCAAACAGATTCCGGTTTCTCTTCCTTTCATGCGTTTTAGATAAGTATTTCATTAAGAATAAGCCCAAATTGGTTTCATAAAAGAATGACCAACGTAGTTAGAATATCTTGTTTTAAGAAGAAAAAAAAGTATACCTTCAAGTTGTTAAAACACTGATAAAAAGAATCTCTGCGTTTGACATGATTCAGTTGCTTCATCTTTTATTGACAACACATTTGTTACGTTTTTTTGGTAGTGTTTTTCAGACGGACAGTAGGCAATCGTTTGGGAGCCAATTGTGTTTCTCTTTTCGCGTTTTCCCCCCTGTTTTTCGTATGAGACAGTAGTTCATACAGGGCTTCTCGGAATGAATGAAAAGAAGGCCATCACGTTTAGCTATACAGAATGAATGAATAGATATCTTCTCGTTAAATAATTTAAAGTTTCGTGACCTTTATCAATTAAGTCTCCTTAATACCTTGACTAACATTTATAAATTGATAGTTAGGGTTGGTTAAACACTAAACTTTACAACAGGGATGAATCAAATTTTCCCACTGTGAACTATCTATTTTTAGAAGAAACAGTGCAGCAGCACCTGCATAAGCAGTATTTTTTTCTCAAAAAGTTAATACGATATTGTAGTTTTTTTTGTTTGCTTTCATGATTTCCTAGAGAAGAATTGCTGCCTACAAGGAAGCTTTCGAATCAATGTATCTTAATGGTAAAATGAAACCATCATTTTACTGACACATAAAATCAGTCATGAATTGGTTGACCGTTATGGAAAATCGTTGTCATCGATATGTTCCACTTGTCGTAGCCACAATCCATCATCTTAACCTTGATTGTGACATCAACGAATGTAATTTATTTTTAGGTTCAATGAGCAACACGACGGATACACCAAGAGGATTGAGAACAGCTTACCCTTCCTGATCACCGGTATCTGTGGTTCGTGTTGCTGAAACTTTAATTTGCTATATTGTGTTTTGTGGATTTTTTATTTGTTTTTTTTTGTTTTTGTTTTTGTTTTTTTTTTTGGTTTTGGCCTTGGTCTTTTCTGTTTTACTTCGACTTACGGCTTTTATACACGTAATGTATCCCCTCTCCTTTTGCTGCTCTACCTGTTTCACGATTAATTATCATACTATTTTTTAACCTTATCTTGAATACATTGCCAAGGGTAGAAAACATTTTCTGTATCAACATGTTGCAGCAAATACTTACCAATTGAAGTTTTGTAAGATATTTCTTCCACCAAAGATACTTTTGCATATGTGGTCCAAAAACCGCAAGTCCATAGTAGGAATACATAAATATATGTACAAAGGAATTTAGCATCCCAGTAAAGAAAGCTGTAATAGGAAGATAGTTGAACTTAGACTGAATTGAAATACTGTTACCTTTTAGTATACGTACATGGTTTTCATGTATTTAAACAGACATTATAAAATACATAACATTGTGTAATAATACAGTGTAAATTCAGAAAACTCTGCATGCATCAATTAAAGCGATTATTGAAAAAAACAATCGACATTAGAACGATTTCAGGAAAAAACTGACTACTAATAATGCTTTTAAAATTTAAATTGCGAGTTTTTTTTATCGATATCTATTCCGTTACCTTTTTTCCAATAAAAAAAACCCAACATATATAGTATTATTATGAATTAACAGTATTTTACGACAAGGGTGTTTAAACGAGTAACATGAATCTTTTCTGAACATTGACACACCCATGGATACGTTATCTGAGAAATTTATTAAGACCATTAACTTCTGTATTATTTACATACAATGCTCACCCTTTCGCAGCGTTAGACTACATGTATCTCCGATGTTTTCATGAGGTTTGTAATCGTTAGATTGTTGTATAATGATTTGTTGCCATGTTTGTCTTTTTCTTTCATCTAACACCAACTTTTTCGTTTGTTTAAATTTATTATCGTTTTCGGAGTGGGTTTCTACTACCTTCTTTCTTATAATTATGTGTTGCTTCATTTGTTAATGATTGTTGGTGGCCTTAAAATTCAACTTTATCATAAAATATCAAAATGGCCATAATTTGGTTCTTAAATTGATCTATTTAAAAAGCCTTACCACTAGGTTAAATAAATTTCTTCATTTGAGTTCATTCTAGTTTTCAAAGTCAGCACATTTTGGATATATTTTCAAAAAACGATGATTTTGTGCATTTTTCGGACCTAAAAGCTGGAGGAAACCTTTGCCGCAACCTAGGCTCCAAAATGTTCTGCAGCCAAAAGTTGCCAATGATAACAGTGAATCCCTAGACATAAAAACTTTATGGATCCAGAGTGGCGCCGAAGTAAATTATATAAAAAACTGTTAAGAATTATTGAAAATTTGACCAAAACTGACGTTGCAACATACATAATGTATACTTGAGGGGTAATTTCTTCGTCAATTTTAATGTGATATGCTGAAAAGAAGTTATTTGGTATTAAAAGTTATATCACAACTATTTCTATGTGAAATTTGCAGAATTTTGGCCTGATAAATAAAACATCAAATTCTTTAGGCCAATGTTTACCCTTCGTGAACTTACTCCTTAGTGTAGCCGACCGTGCAAGACCTCCCATTGGGTAGTCAAGGTCGTTAAAAACCCCCTCGTCGTCGTAGTATAATAAATACTTCGTTCATTTTCATTGTTGAAGGCCGTACGGTTGCCTATAATTGCTTACACCCAATTCATTTGAACTTGGGTGGATAGTTGTCGCATTGGTGATCTAAAAGTGAATAGGCTGGAAAAAAGGGGTGAATAATTTTAATGACACCACTGTGAAATGTAAGAAATGAAGCCTCAGCAACAGGTACACTATCGACCAATCAGAAAAATTGCTTTGGTTCGCAAAGCCAGTGCTTTATTCATATAACAAGGGCTTTGAATTTTTTAGATTTTTAAAATTCAAAGTCCCCAATAAGATTGGATGTGACTGTGTGTTCATACTTTCTGCACAGCCAAACAAATCCCCTTTCTTCAGGTCGTTCTGTCCTAAAACAAAAGCCAAGAGATAGAAAAAAATCACACTGGGCTCCATCTATATGGTAAAGACACAGTTAGGAACCTCACCACTATGTTGACTGTCCTTGGTATATAATTTTGTGCTTATTGAAATTTTGTGTAGATGGTAGATCTTTGTTAGTTTCTGTAAGATATATTTACAACTTGTTTAAACTTGATTTATTTTTATTTGCTTTCAGTCCACTGAGAAATATTTCATGCATGTTCGGGGGATAAAGCGAAAGACGAGTACTGTAACGGTCACTCACTGCTTTGATTAAAAACCTACATGTTTAAGAGAATATATAAGAAAATATCGGAATTTCCATGTGTTAATTTTGAGGATTTTTTTCGTGACTAAAATTGTACCTACAAGTTTTATATACTCACACTGTCCTCCAGCGACATATTTGACACCCATCCACCAATTCAATATCATTGTACAATGGTGATACACGTGTAAGAATGATACCTGATTAAACTTTTTACGTAATATGAAAAATACCTGTAGACAAAAAGATCAATCTCTTAGAAACAAAATATTTGTTCACGCGAAGTCATTCCGTTCACTTCCCATAAGGGTTTTTTTCCTTTCTTGATACTTTCAAATCATTTTACGTGTGTTTCGATGTACACGAAATGCATTGAAAATGGGCATTCCAAATATACAAATATTTTAGCAAAGTCTTATTGACGGATATACACATATATGTTTACTAATATAGGTATCAAACTTGCGTACCTGCTGCATTTTCCCTAAAAATCCACCCGTTTAATGGAATTGTATACTACTAAAACTACAAATTATGCTAATCTAACTGTTCTCTGTTTGTCCATTTTGGTTTAAATGCTTTCATTATTAATACATTTTAACGGTTCTAAATTTTGAGACTCTAGCGTACCCCGTGGAGAGTATTCCAGAAACACAAATGAAATTCGGTTTCCAAAAATGAGCAAAACTCCTACCACTAAAAAGGCCCCCATATGACAAAATGTGAAACGATTCAAACGAGAAAACCAACGACCTGACAAAACAACAAACGAAACAAATATGACAGACAGAAAATAACGACAACAACTGGACATATTTAAAAGATAACAGTCACAAAGTACCGATCTACGAGTCTTCGCAGTTTCTGAAAGCTAGTAAAGTAAAACAGAACCAATAAATAAATACAGTTCTCCAGCTGACTAAAGTATCAATCAGTTTAGTTTAGTTCGTTCCATGTTTGTTTTAAAGACTATCCTACTGCCTGTCGATACTTTTATTTTGGCATTGCACAAGTCATGTCTTCTTTGACTGTCCATGACGTAAAAACACTAAATCCCTGGGATGTGTTTTAGTTAATTTTAGTCTCTGAGGCATGATTTTTTTATTTTTAATTGTTTTTGGCTTTTAACTAGCTTTCAGTAACTGCGAGTACTCTCAAATCGTACTTTCGTGTTAATTTGATCTGTTGATACAATTTTTAATGTATTTTTGTTATTCAATGTTTACTTATTCAGTGTTTTATCTAGCCGTACAAATGTTAGGAATGATTTTTGCCGATTCCATTATCACTATATATATATATAAAGATTCTTATGAAATGAAATAAAATTGTAATCAACTAGCTTTGCATAAATGTGATCTTACAGAAAAACAACACTCGTAAAAATTGTAACATACTATGACATGTGTATAAGCTGTGGGAGATGATACAAAATTTAAAATAAATCCAATAGGCAGATTATGTAGATGACCGGAATGCTGAATGGGAATTCTTGTGGACCGGACCCGTTAAAGAAGTTTAACAAAGGTCTTTTCACTGTAGAGAGCGTGGCACACTTTATACACCATGTATCGGATTTAAATGTTCCCATTTCGACCCAATGTGGCTGTGTATTCAAACATCCTACATAGACAAACGGACTCCTATTTTGCATTAGTTTCACTACTGGACGGAGAAGCCAAAGAGTAAACTAATTTGAAAATATTTATAGACAAATGTGGGGTGACTTTCCAATTGCTTTGTTTATCTTTAAAATTGATTGCTTTTTGCAGCCCCAGGGCCTGCAACTGCGATAAAGCTTGCAATTGTGGTCGGTGAAAATAGTAAGTTTGTCTCTTACTTTAAATGTTAAGCGGGCTAGAATCTAACTTACCGTATCTAAAAGTTCTATAACCTTCGAGAAAAAGAACCACCAACAAACCTTAGCCATCTGCAAGTGTAAAAAGTACATAACAATACTAAAATTGCAGCAAATTATAAAGACCTGGTTTAATATAGCATTACGAAAGTAAAAGATCGTTCCTTCTTCAAGTCTGTTTCAATAAATGAAAACTATATAAATTAAGAAGTCTTCTAGATTTACCTTCCTTTCTGGGTTTAAGAACAGGTCTGGTGTTTGTATTTACCGTATTTGTCTAAATAATCCATACGAAATATAAATTGGCAAGCTCAGGTTAATATTCTTAATACTACAATTTAATGCCACAACATATGCATTTATCACATACTCCATACTACATTTTATTATTTAACGGAATTTTTCAAATTTGCTGATCTATTGCCGTCCCTCCGACTTCCAAACACCATAAAAATGCTACGATAAAATCTAACTTTACGTCATGAAAAATTCAGTGTTACGCAAAAAGTGAAATAACAAAAATATCGAACTCCAACGAAAAGTCCCTTATCAATGTCAAAATCAAACGCTCAAACACATCAAACGAATGGAAAACAACTGTCATCTTCCTGGCTTGGTACAGACATTTCCTTATGTAGAAAATGGTGGATTAAACCTGGTTTTATAACTAGCTAAACGCCGTATAAAGGAGTGTCCATAAACCTTCGTAATTGAAATCGGATCTGACCAGGGTTGCGTTCAATATCGTAGCTGCTACGTAGTGCTACGTAGATTTGACTACTGAACGTGTAGCTAGCCTAGTCGCTAAATAAATCTTGATCGACCAAAAATTTAATTGCTTCGCATCAGGGTGCGGAGCTATTAGTTTCAGTCGATATACACGTCATCTTGAAATAATTACTAATCACATATAAATAGATTCTGATTGGTTGCGTTAGGATGCAGCTGAGATACAGCAACAGCTATTGGCTTAAATGAGATAAAGAATTACAGACTTTTCTCGTCTCAGGATAAGACATCAAATGCCGGAATATTAACTATGTGTATTTCAGTTCCGATTAACAGTCATTCATTCATGTTCGTTTTTTTATGCATATATTTCACACTGGAATTCAATATTGAAATATCAATTATTAATACGTGTTTATATTTGCTTTGTTAATCTGCAATATATGCACGATTTGTTTTGCTAAACAATGTTCCTATACAATGTTTACAAAAACGCATTATCTGTATTTTATAACTTCTGTCAATCTAGGCACACATCCAGAGAGGCACACCTCCAGAATACTAATTGAACAACCACATGCACACATATTACCTTACATTAGGATAGAGCGAAGCAGTCCACAGCTTTTTAGAAAGCTCAAACTTGTGTTATCTAAAGAATCCAAAATGGCATCGGAAAGGTTATTATTACTCATGCTGTCGTTTAGATAGACTAGCTATGTAGCATATCGTTCAACAAAGATAGAACATCTACATGTAAGACATAGCGGCTATACTAGATGCTACGATATTGAAAGCAGCCAAGTTGTATAATGATTTTAATATAAAATAAGTCGATTAATATTTTTCAAGTGATTTCTTGGTGCTTTTGATTAATCACTATGGAAAAATATTCTACAACTGTATCATATCTTTAAAATGTTTGGCAGTCTCGGTTTTACTTAAAAAAATGATCTATCTCAAACCAATAAAACAAAAACAAATGACATTTAGTTGAATATTCAAAGAAATTGTACTTACTCTCATGGCCAAGGGACTGTCTGAATAATCCACTGGCTGACATTTGTAACTATAATTTGACAATAATGAAACAGTAAGAAACTGAAATAAAAAATTACACAACTAACATTGAATTTGATTGTCTAGTAAGATGAAAGAAGTATCATTCCATTGAAATAAATTATGTGTCAAAAGCTGAAATTGACAAAATAATAATCAAAACAATAAAGAAGACGTCGATTTCAAAGTACTAGATAGCTCGTCTGCTAATTTTAAAATATTTATCAAATTTCAATCGTTAATTTACATATGAATTGTATATCATACGATAATAATTTATTGTTATATATCTATATCTATTATCCTCATTTACAAGATATATGGTCGATTACTTTTTTTCAAATTAGATTTTTTTTTTTAAAGCATAACCGTTTGCATGAAGTACACGAACGAAAAATAGTATTAATTATTACATAGGTTGTTTTCATACAAAATTAAGGCATACGATGGAATCAAATGATTCGACTTTCATCCAATAAAAGATCAGTTTTTATACTTTTGATTTTGCCATTTGTTAAGGGACTTACCGTTTTGAATTTTCCTTGGAGTTCGGTATTTTTGTTATTTTACTTTATATATAAATTGAAAACCTACTGGAAATATTGCAAATTAAAAGAACAATTTTAAAGTATAACAACGTGAATTGGTGTAAATACCAAGAATTAAACTAAATTAACATTTACCTCTAAAAACATGTAAATGGATAATCCAACTAAAATAAAGTTGTATGGGATTAATATTGCTTTTAGATTTAGTGGTTGTACATTCCTCATAACTCTAGGACTGACAAGCACAACGAAAATATAAGAAAAAAATAATATCATAATTGGAACGGGGGTCTGCATAAGAAACCATTCTTCTACTCTAGGATCTGAAATTAAAAAAAAAATAAAAGTTTCAAAAGTGATTTAACGTGTTAAACAATCTGTCAATATTTCTTGATAAAATAAAATGAAAAAAGCTATATAATAATGAAACGGAAATATGGTTATTGCACCGAGGAATAAACTCCTGTAGTATGATTTTCAACAGTGCAACATTTACACTATAAATATTATGACAATGTCAACTACAGCAAGCGTTTAAATTCAAATCATGCCCTGTAAATCAGATGCCCTTAATACATGTAACAAACTCATTACATCCTTGAGTTAATCACATTGATAATAATGGCCATATTATACTTCAATGGTATACTGCTTACATGTTTATGCCAATCTTACTGTCTTCTTCTTTTCATGTAACTATCTCTTTGTCTTATGAATAAGACAGTTGCTATATGTCCGGCTAGGAGTTACTTAATTTTTTTTTTAATATCAAAATCAGATTTTTTTTAAACTGATATCGCTCTGTTGGTGCTAGTTAAATTTCTATTATAAAATTTATACCTACCACCTCTCTTTAGAAATTCTGTATAAAATGTCTTAGCATCTTCAAAGAATGACATCTTGGATCTAAAAGGAATTTTACCGTTTAATATTTCGTAAAATCTTTATCTTAGCACAGACATCTTAGCATAAGAATGCAAAAGTGTACACTTGCATTGTATCCTTTTCAATCAGAGGCGTTTTTTTTTAAATCATCAAGATACACATATTTAAACCGTTAGAGCATGTCTAAAATGTTCAATTAAAGCACGTTTTGATAAAATAAAAATAGCACTTTTTAGGCAAGAATCTTATCTTTTGATTAATTTAGGAAAGTAGTAAATAGATAATAACAAAAACAAAATCGGTATTCATTTTCGACTCTACTATAAAAAATAGTATTCTCAATTGGTAGACGTACATGTACAAGCCACGATCAATATAGTAATACCAATAACACATTTTAGACATGCTTTAAATGTAGAATAGCAAAATTAATCAAGATATTATCCGTTTCAGAAATAAAATATTTTGAATTTTAAAAAACAGGTCTGATACAAGATTGAAAAAATATTATTCATAAATCTTTTGACTGGTTTCATCTGATCAGATCAGTAGTTAATTTTTAAAACAAGAGGTCTAATATGTAACAAAGGAAGCTCGGTAGGTAGGAGGGAGAGCTCCTGGAAAAGAAACTGATGAATATTTGTAAAAGACCATAAGGGTAAAATAAAAACATTTACTACACTGCAAATGTAATATTAAATTTGATCATTAGTAGACCTCTTTTTTTAAATGGTTAATTCAGTTATAACGTGAGTGTCCTCATTTTGATCGTACTTAGCTTTGTATATACATCCCGCACAATAAAAGAGACGTCTCGCCCCTCGGAACGGGAAAGGCCCTGGTAAACATATTGAAAGTATAAAAAGCAATGAACTAACGATGAAAAATATCTCAAAACTAGCCTATATATATGGACATTGATATACAATGAAGTTTCATACCCTTGTTCTTTTTTTCATGAAGAATAGCACAATTATTCATTGTTAGTCTGAAAATTTAACTTTACAAGGTCATCTATGATTCTTATGGAGATGGTCAATACTAACAAACCCAAATAGGAACGAATAAGAGCACAAAACTGTCTTTCCTATTGACCACTTTCAAGATTCAATGCTAAAAGTGTGAAAGTCACTTGGTACAGGTGGCAATTCCTAGGACCTCCACCTAAGGAGCTGTTCATCGTGTATACGAGAACGGATAAGGATGGGAATTCGTGTCAGGTACTGATGCAGAAATCTAGGACGCTAACAATAATGGGCTAAGGTTTTAAAATGCCATGCTCCCTACTCCCTTCTTTTGACACACGTGGTGGTTATGTACAAAAACCAAATTGAGTGCACTCAAGGCATAAATCATTGAAATATGAACTTGTATAATACCCCTTATATAAATTATAAGTTGTAATATATTCCCCGTATTACGATTATTTATAGTATCTTTTAAGTTCTGTATATAAGATAATTTATACTCCTTCTGTCATCTGTAATTTTAATGTATTATGTATAATTGATGCTACTGTAGCACAGTTACTGCGTCAGAGTTTATTTATATAAAGTTCTAAAGTAAAGCTCGATGTTATTGGCTCACAAGGGCTGCAATTTTCTATTCCCAACCGACACTCATTAACTTAATTGAGTGACTCCTCTGCATTTTAAAAATATTATGTTCGATTTTATTGATAATCTTACACATGTCCTGAATATCACATAACATATTTCCCACTTGACGTTAAATAACCAATAGTCTTTATGGCCTTCTTATCGTGTGTGTCTTATTTACCAAGAGCCAAAATAATAATGATACTAATAATGAAATACTTTAGTATCTAGGAATTCTAGTAATTTAACAAACCAAATTGGCATTATATTAAATCAAAATTACATTATATATATGTTTCATTAAATCCGTATTTTTAATTGGCCGACTACAATCGCGAGGCACTCCAATATCATATTTTATTTCCGTATAAAATACATATAAAAATATATAATGTTAATATATTATTTTTTTTATTTATTATTAAGACTTGAATGCTCTTTTTATAATCTTATAGGGTTGAAAAAACGTTGATCGTGCGCACATTTTTAGTATATACAAAATGTTTTTAAGTCGACGCTTTTACTACTCAATAAAACTATAAAAAGAAGCATTCAATTCTGAATTAATTGTACATGATATATACTAACACTAATAAACAAGTTTTATTTTTTTAAGAAACTTAACTAAAGAGGAAAATGCGTGATCGAAGCTTTCGATATTGACCTTTTTTTTCAAAAAATCTTTGCATTTTAACCAATCTCCTTTTAAATTAGTATTAATTTAACAAAACGTTGATTTATTCAAATAGGAAAGATTAAAAAAGGAAAATAAGACCTTATAAATTGAGTGCGTCCTTAATGTAGTATATTAATAAGGAAATGTGGTATCGGATAGCAATGACACGACTATGTATTAAAGACCAAATGACGTGATGTAAGCATAACTATGTTTTGCAATGTGTCTACCTTGGGATAATGATGGTACTTTCAATCTACCTTATATATTATAACCGTTTTAAAATTGACAAATTTCTGATATAAGACAATTGACCTCTGTCGAGAAAATTAACGATAAATATCATAAAATACTGCAACAATTTGCTGCAACAGGTGGTCTGGATTTCATAAATTGTTCTGTTCTCATCTTACCATCTTACCACATATACATCTCGGTCTGTATCGATCTTGTTGCTCTTTCCAAAATTTAGAATACGTTTTAACGTTACCGAAAGTTTACTTTATTTAAAAATAATATCCATTTTTTACAATTTATATCTATCTTTGCAAATTCAAAACACGTGTTTGTATGAAATAAAAGTTGTGAATTATTTGGTATACTCACGTCAAGTTATTGAGGTTGATACTGTTCTGTTGTATACTATGCTGGTTGTAGGATGTATGCAATGCGCTTGGAACATGTAGTAGTTTAACTTTGATATATCATACACACTTCCGTTAATTGTATTGATAAATTATATTAACCTACATGTTGTACTATCGAATTCAGGTTATTGTGTACAAAGTCGAAAGAATCATGTGAAAGTAAACATTCAATGGGAGATAACTTCAGGTAGAAATAGTAACATAGGTATATACGTAAAGACAACTGTCAACTAATGAATAATTTATTTTTATCGCGGTGTAGTGTCTATGTACTCGAAGTACAGTTTCCTTTTAAATACACTAGAACATTTTTGTTTGTATTCCTTTTTGACTGATTATGCAGCAGACAAGTAGGTAGAATATGAAATTAATATACGAAAGTTTTTTTAATATCCATATTTTTTCACATTCAAATTAAATTAAGAATCAAGTAACCTTTTCGATTTCCGTATAACCTCATCATAAGCGGCAGCAAATGCTTTTGAGGGACGCAAACAGCATTGATTTTGTTTTAAGTAATTGCATATTTGTTCTTTTATTTCAGATGATGTCATTGGCCAAATTCAGTGTATATTATGAGCATTAAATGATTGCTTAGAAGTGGAAGGGAATGGGCAAAAACTCAAATTTTCCACTTGCAAAATCTGTTTTGCTGCATGTAAATCTAAATTTTATAAAAGTACCGAGATTTTATTATAAAAAAGAGTCTATTAATATTGCGCATATATTGAGGAAGAAATCTGCACCTTTCGTGTACATGGTGTGTGTAAACTAATAACAACTTGTTCAACAAGGATTGGCGATGATCTAATTGTTTATGTGACAAAATGCCAGAGAAAGTAATAACTACTCGAAAAAGGCCTCATTGACGATTACTTCGTCTCAAAATTTGCAGAAAGGTGATCCGTCAAATACATGTAGGACTAACTGCAAATAATTTTGTAGAAAGGGATAAAAATACGTTTCATAAAAAGAATCAAAGTACTGAAGTACTGAACATCCGATGACCGCAAGTTCTTGTGGATGGTCACAAGCAATAGTCCCAGAAAAAAATCACATCTCTATACCTGAAAGTTGGGTTAATGTACAGAGATATATTTTTTTCTGAGACAAGTTCGTGCGTGGATGATGGATAAATGACAGGGAATTCAACCTCACCGTAATAACTATTATGTTATAGTGATACAAATCAGTATACTCTGGTTTGTTGTTATATATTATATTAATATTTGTATATAACAGTTACATGTATATATAATTTACATCCATTTATATACCAGTCTATTCTACTATATAATAATAGTGCAGTGCAAGTGCATGCACGGTGGACACTCTTCTGTAATAATTCGATCATTTTCTAATAGTTTGGATTTGAGTAGGCATTCATATTTTCCCGCAAAACGTTCTTGAGATATTCTTCCGCGTGCGTTAACACAATTTTTCGATTCGTGTGCATAGATATTAATGATTTTTTATTTATATATATATTTCTAACGACAAAACATTTTCATATTATTAATCTATGTTCTAAAAGAAATATTTTTATGAGTATTCATTGAAGAAATGAATTTATAACAAGCGATAAGGAATAATATTTTGCACTCGATAATGTCCGCGTATTTATAGATCGGTTACCAGTCAAAAACGAAAGTTACGTAATTAGAAATCTCCGTGGCAACAATACATCGGAATACCCTCACGGTCATCGCCATGTAAAAAGTTGAAAATTAGATTTATTTCAACTCATCCAAAAAATGGTCCATTTCATCTATGAAAAAGACTTAAAATGCGCAAACCATTGCGATGTTTGTTCATAATTACGAGTTTAAAACACAATGAACGAAGGACAAATGACAATATATCCGTCATTCAATTTATAAATGATCTCACAAGTCAAACTTGTAAACAACAAAAAATATGCTATTAACTGGAAATGCATTTAAAGTATATCAACCAACTTGTGTCTTTGAAAATCTATTCAACCGTATGTTTAATCGTGCAGATTTACTCAAAATTGATACCCTAAGGATTACTGGGGAATAGAAATATGGTCACTTTGGTCTTCTTGCGACCTGCAGTAAAACCCTTGCAAAAGTGGGGCGTCTGTTTGGCTGTGCTGGATGTACAAGTACGCAGTCACGTCCGCTCACAATTGGAACGTTAAATCCGATGACTTGTGTAAAGATAGTGCCACACTCTATGAACGTTAAGAACTCTTGCAACAACTCTTTGAGGGGTCTGTAGGTGGCTTGTTGCAAGGCAAAATGTCTGTCCCTATCCAATATACCATCATTTTCTATGGGCAGTTCAAATTTCCTTGTCCTTCATCCTGGACGGCCTCTTTTGCAGGATTTACCTACTGTATTTAATATCTATTGTTTAAAATTTGTTCTCATCCTGATCATGCATGACATATTTGCAAATGGACATTAAGCAACCAATAATCAATCAAAATTGATAAAGGAAATAGTTTAAGAGTATTAAACCTCAAGTGCGGTGACAGTCACGTCTAGTCACAATGTTGAAAACGACACCCCCTTGATAGGAGAGTTGCCGCCCTATTAACACATAGAAGAACACTTTTAACAATCTCTCAGATTGTTTATTAAAAATGATAATTGCAAGGAAAATGTATGTGTTACCCATCATGTCCCATTTAAAAAGAACATAAAAAAGTATGTGCCATGCTATTTATTTAAGGTTTTACTGAAATCAATTTCCTAATTACATAACCATGTATTTTCTTTTCAATTGAACCTTCTTGTAAATATGTGCTCCTGTTTTACAAATCATCTTGTAAATTCACTCTGTAATCTTGATTAAGAGCACAAGGTTTAAGATGAATAAACTCAGGATTGTTATACCATAGCAAAATTTCATTATCGCTTTGTCCCTGTGCAGTACAAAAATCCAAAGAATGGGTTGATAAAACGAAAGCGAGACGAATCAAAAATTATAAAAAAATATACCTGAACACTGAAGTTTATTAATAGTATAGTATATTCAAAAAAACTATACACGAGGGTATTTCATGTAATAAAATTCAAATATCAGAATATGCTATTCAGCAAATCAAAATGGCGGGATCATATGGTCAACTACACACAATGACTTAAAGGTTCAAATAGACAGCAATTAGAAATAATGTCTTACAGCGTCATTATGCTACAATAGGTACAATAATGGTCAAAGTCCTATAATTCCTGAAAAAAGAAAACGTAAAATAAAAATGACCGTAGAACGGTCAACTGAACATCATGACGCACAATCGTTTCAATAAAATTGAGAATGGAAATGGGGAATGTGTCAAAGAGACAACAACCCGACCAAAGAGCAGAAAATAGCCGAAGGCCACCAATGGGTCTTCAACACAGCGAGAAAATCCCGCACCCGGAGGCGGGCTTCAGCTGGCTCCTAAACAAAAAATGTGTACTAGTTCAATGTAAATGGACGTCACACTAAACTCCAAAACATATAATTAAACTAAAATTAAAAAAAACATACAAGACTAACAAAGGCCAGAGGCTCCTGACTTGGGACAGGCGCAAAAATGCGGCGGGGTTAAACATGTTTTGTGAGATCTCAACCCTCCCCTATACCTCTAGCCAATGTAGAATAAACAAACACACAGCAATACGTAAGTATGAAAGCTTTTGAACAAACGGTCTCGGTGAATTAGTTTTCACAAAGTGTAACAGACGGACCGATACTACTACTTTGTCTCACCGTTTCGGTGTGTATGGAGACAAAAGGAAACCAGTATATACTCAGACTTAGACAGAGTGAGAATGACAACTATATATAGTTGATATACTATGTAATAAATCATCCCACATAACCATTGACATCCCCTTAACATGGGTCATTCTGGTAGACTAAAAAGACCATGCTACCATTGTTGATACCCAGTCCCTTGTATGGAACATAGATGAAAAATAAAGCAAAGCGAGAATAAAAATATTAACGATGGGGAAGATTATGACGGATCAGAACATAAAATATAAAGAAACCTGAATGGTTGGAGGCAATACTATCTAAACATATACAGACTTCTATCCTGGTAAATTTAAAACATGAATATTTATTTCTAATTCTTTATTATACTACGCTTTATTCATAACTTTGTTTTGTATTATTTATTGGAGAATGTTTTATATTATTTCGATCATTCAGTTTGATTTAAGAGGTTCATCACCGATTATCCTTACATGACTTCATATACTATTTCTAATCATTACCACCAAATTACACTGTTATTGGTATAGGAGGAAGCATACTAAGTGGTACTTCGATATTGATTTCGTCTTCATCTGTAATATGAGTGCAACTGATGAGTCTTGTGAAGAGGAAATGAGTTTGGCGTACACAATTATAAGCCTTGGACCTTTGCTGACTCTTTATATAGAACGTTTAGGTTTTTTGAATTACAATAGTTAGGTAAAAGTTTGATATGTGTGTACATTTAAACGGGTATTGTAAAAAAACGTATTTATTTTCTTAATTATCTGTAAAATAGCTTTGAAAATTCTTAACGGAACATGAATTAGCCGGTTGCAAATAAATTATTTTTTTTATAACTGTCACTATTCCTATTATTGTTGAATAAAATATTTTTCTGTGTTGATTTCTGTATCCACATCCAATGCTTTAATACGTATAGGATGTCAAGAATACCGTCAATAGTTTGTAATGTCTTTAAATTGGTTTTGTTCATTTGAAGAGTCTGCGACTCTTTTCACAAAAGATCTTACGATTAAAATTGATCGTAAGTTGTACTGAAATGTGTATGACTTACGAGTATTTTTACTCTTAAGATTTTTTGTGAAAAGAGCCGCTGGTTGTTATCCCCATTGAATCATATTCTACCAATATTGAAATCAAGAAATTTCAATATGATTTGATCTCTTCTCATGAAGGTTGTGACCTCTTGATATCGGAGGTTTTTTTGACAACAGTTACTGTTGTATGGTTGTCGTCTCATTGATGTTTGCCCAATAATTCCTTTTATTTATATGAAATTACCATCCTGAAATTATTTGTTTTTGGTGATTAACCAAGCAGATCCTATAATGCCCGTATATATCGGGATATGACTTCCTTGATACCAACGAGATGGTTTCAATTC